TCCATCGTAAGGCCCAGGACTCAGCAGTTGTCAGGGAGCAGTGCCAACCAACTAGCCTCCTACAAGAGGTTCCTTTTTTTTTTCTTGCGAGCAAAAACTTTTTTGTGCACAAAAAGGTTTTCACAACACATCCACAACTAAAGAGGAAAAGTACCAAGACACCACATGATCAGGAACCTGAATCATTGAAGGCACTAGCTAAACTGAGCCTACCTGTAGACTGCGTCATCCGATTGGGGAGTTCTGTCCCATCTGAGAGGAAACATGAAACAAACTGAAAAACTACAACTGAGTTCCTCGCTGCTCCGTCTTGGGGTCACTGGGATCTTTCTGCTTGATGTCGTACTGATGTGCAGTAACCTCTTACACACTTCTAGAACACAACTGCACCAATGATGTCTGCTAGCTTGTATCATTTTATAATCTTAAGTATCAATGAAAAGCATTTTTCTGCTTTTTCTTCCAAGAAAAAATACTGAACAAAACGTGTCACCAGTTTGTTCTCTCTGGTCATAAATCGCCCAGGTCTGGGCCCTGATGAACCCGTAAGGGAAGCTCCTGTCTCAGTTCCACCATTAACGCAGCCCGAACGCTCAGCTGTGGTTAAATGCAAACGCACTCCCTTCAAGTCTCATTTTCGGTCTTTTTCAGCAAGATTGCACGCAAGTGCATTTCGTGCATCGGTCCGTTTCCTGTTTCAACTGCAAAGCTTGCACATTTTCTGTGAACACACTGTACCACAGTTCCAACAGCAGGGACTATCTCTTCAAGTAGTTAGTCTGTGTGCGACAATACTTTGGTTCTTCATAATTAACTGTGAGACCTTAAAATAAAATTTAGAGTGCAGTTTTTCAGGCTTGATGGACCTTACAGGAAACAAGATAATTAAGGGCAGGCTAGGCCCACTGTTCTATCCTATAAATTTGTTTGTTGTTTTCTTCTGAAAAGGCCCGAAATGATTTTGTGCATCTTACTGGCGATTCTCAAGAGCAGCCTTAATCACTAGCAGATCATTTCCTGTGTGACTCACAGCCAGGAAATGAACTAGGAGCCCTGAAACTGCAGCCCACCCTTTCATGCTCTCTCCCCCAGTCTTACCCTTGAAATGAGGGCAAGGGGACATAAAAAGAGTCTAAAGTAACTTGGTTTCAGTGCCATGACCAAGTCTGGCTCAAAGGAGCTCTTGAGCCCAGGCTGTTTGCAGTGCGCTGCTCATATGGAGCAAGAAGACTTTATTAAGGGACTGGCGGCCACAACAATGTGCTCATTCTCTTCCCCTGAGAAGAGGCTGGACCAGTTCCTCGCTCTCTCTTCCACACAGCTGCCTCCGCCACTGAGTCACTCTGGTGAGAGCTGCGCGGCTCGGCTCTCCCCCTCCTGCTCTGTACAGGGACGTCACGTGCGAAAGCACTGGACCTTACTGCCCATCAGGCCATCAGCTCAGAATACCCGCCCAGACTCTCCTCCTGGCCATCAGCTCCAACCACCCGCCCAGACTCTCCTCCTGGCCATCAGCTCCAACCATCCTCCCAGACTCTCCCCCTGGCCATCAACTCCAACCACCCACCCAGGTTCTCCTCCAGCCATCAGCTCCAACCATCCTCCCAGACTCTCCTCCAGCCATCAGCTCCAACCATCCTCCCAGACTCTCCCCCTGGCCATCAGCTCCAACCACCCGCCCAGACTCTCCCCCAGCCATCAGCTCCAACCACCCGCCCAGACTCTCCTCCAGCCATCAACTCCAACCACCCTCCCTGACTCTCCCCCTGGCCATCAGCTCCAACCACCCGCCCAGACTCTCCTCCAGCCATCAGCTCCAACCACCCGCCCAGACTCTCCCCCTGGCCATCAGCTCCAACCACCCTCCCTGACTCTCCTCCAGCCATCAGCTCCAACCACCCGCCCAGACTCTCCTCCAGCCATCAGCTCCAACCACACTCCCAGACTCTCCCCCAAGCCATCAAGCTTTGATCCTTCCAATCAGAGAGGCTGAATTGCAAAAATGGTTTTAAAACCTGCAGTCTTCGCTGAGCAAAGTATAGGCAGGCGCATATCACCCAGATACACCTCTGTCGGTTGCATTGCACTGCCTTTGCACTATAAGTAAAACTCTATTGAAACTATTAAGCTCTTAAAAAGAATTACTGCTCGTAAACGGTGCTGTATTTTGTGTACACTGCCCACCAGTACAAACCTAGAAGTTATTTAACTTATCTGTTCCTGCATTCAGGTGGACCAAGCTGTATTATTATGAGTTTACTACCAAGCTCACAGTTTGACTACACACTTTAAATGTGTGTTTTTATCCCCACAGAGTGATGACTGAGGGGCAGCAAGTTAGTCTTCACATCTGTCATTTCTATGAATTCCAAACGATAGTGTAAGGAAATTTAAATCAAGGAAAAACTACAACAATGCAAAGACGGGAAACTGATGTTCTAGCAACTTCGATGCACACTCCCCAACTGAATGTGCCCCGTGCCCCCGTCCAGTCGAGCCCACCCTGTCTCCATGGCCACTCTCCACACACGGGACCCTGCCAGAGCAGCACTCACGATCCCAGGCTGGGAGACGGGACAGGGGGGAATGGCTGGAGAGAGCATGCTATTCCAGGTGGACCTGGAGTGGTCTATAACCCTAACCCAACAGGGCCCAAACAGAAACTAGAAATACATCTGAACAGGAAAAATGCATCGGGTGAGAACAAGATTGAATCATTTTTGGTAAAAACAATCATGCTGCAACTTTTTCCACACTCAACATGCAGGACTACAGGAGAAGAGTAGAAATGACCAAATGCATGAAGAAAGGAGGTCTCCGAGTTGGAAGCAATTCCCAATCTCTCCATAACTTTCAGGCACGCGCACAGACCCTCCTCGCCATTGCCTCTTATTAATCCGGACACCACTCTCACTGCCAAACCACTCCTGCAAACTCAAGCCACAGATCAGCCTGACCAAAGCTGCAAACACGCTCACCACAACTCGAACAGAACTTAACCAGCTGTACAAACTGCTCACTGTCCTCCTGCAACGAGCTGAGTTCATGAACGGGCCTAAAGATTCAAGCTGAACAGATAACGGAAATGCTAAATTACTCTGATGTCTTAGCGTAGGTAAGTCCTATTTTATTTCAGACTTACTAAGAAAACAAAATGTGCATCTATCTCTAAATCAGTCATCAGAATAGAAGGACTGTAATGAACCAGAAAACTATGATAAAAATGTTTTACTACACAAAAACGTGGCACGCTGTACTAACTTTATATATACAGCGATGTTTCTTTAAGAAAGCATGTATTTAAGGAGACCACTCACATATAAGCTGATAGGTTTAAGCATTTAGGTTTGATTAACATTATACTCAGAGGAGGAAACCTTTTTACTGCACCGTAATTCTGATTTGCCGTCACAACGGTGATCCTGCAATGTAGCACGATACATCCCTCATGCTCACAGCCGAGCACAACAGCACGGGACAGCAAACTCACCTGTGTGCTGAACCACCGCAGGAAAGTCTTCTAACAAGTTCTGACTTTGGGTCACCCAGACGAGTCTCGCATACAGTCCCAGAGCAAGGAGGACAGATGAGGTAGACGCAGCCCAGCCGTCTTACAGTTGTGTTCAATGTCCTACTGACAAAACCCGTTGGGAAGGAGCCTCACAGGGGATCCCCCTGAAATAACATCAGAGACACTGCCTGCCGGCCGAGCCCCTTACTATCTCCGGACAAACAGCAAGTCTGCATGCTCCGTGTTAGCCCTTTCCGAATCGTGGTTTACTATTTGGATCACATTTCCACTATGTTCTAAGTCTTTATGATGTCTATTACTGCAGTGGCTGATAGTCGATTCTCCCTTAAACTCTACAGTGCAATGCAATTATACAGTACGACGCTGTTCACATTCACACTAAAATACGCGTTTGTCAGTCACCTGGCTTAATAAAAAAAAAACAACTGATGGAGCTAAACGCTATCACTCGCAGGCCAGCCGGGCTCATGTGAAACGTGACATTTGAGTGGGCCGTGGCAGTGTTGTCCACAGTAACAGCGAGCGTACTTGATGAGCGCGATCGGCGCGCTTCGGCAGCCCGGAGTCAGGCGGCTCGACTGTCACTCAAGCGCCCCTCGCCTTCGCTGAAACCCGACTACAGTACCAGCCCATCCAGGTGGACACATGCATTTAGTACCCGTGTGGCCAAAGCGACGAATGTGAACTCGAAACCGTGAGCTGGACAGCTAGCTCCCGGATCTCCCTACAGAGGTCCCAACGGCGAGTTGGGTAACAACTACAGCACGAAAACTGCATCTCCGGGTAGCTAGAATACCGAAAGGTTGGCATTTTCTTTGTAGCACAAAAGAGGGCCGTTGACAGCTGTTAAAAGTACTGTATTTCGAGATACAACACAGATACAAGCCCCTAACCCTGCATGCACACAGGACTGCAAATCAGCACCTCGCCGTGCGCGAAGTCAAGGTTTGAAATACTGTATACAAGCGGCACGTCCAGTGTCCGTCTCCACTGACAAACACTGCAGCTCCTCGGCCAGGCTCCGGGGCTCATCAGGGCAGAGACGGTCACTCAGGCGGACGCTGGTCAGTCCGCAAGGCCAGACCGGCCCGTCTCCTGCGCCCTCCCGCCGGTCTGACACTTCTGCCTCCTGCCTGCTTTGCACCAGAGAGCAGAAACGTCAGCTGGGCTGGCGGGCAGCTCGGACACCCGCCCGGCCAGCCAGAGACCCCCGTACCCCTGCCCCAACCACGCCTGGCAGACCACAGCCAGCAGAGCGCAGCGATCGCCCACTGAAACACACACGGGAAACGCGTCCCTCTCAAGACAAGTCTGCAGTTACACCGCAGACTGTCCGAGAGGAGAGCCCACCCCGAGGTGCGGTAAGGAGCCCGCAGGACCAGCCGCCGACTCGCACCCGTGCCCGTGCCCCCCTCTCCAGCTGCTGCGCCTGCGGGCTCGCAACGACAAAGAGCAGCGCTGCTCGTACCTCGGTCCAGGAAGGCAGCCCGTGCGGTGCAGACACAAAGGCGAAGGAGTGTTTCCTCTCATGCAGCTCCGGGCCACTCCGGGAGCGCCGAGCCGAGCCGAGCCGAGCGCTGAAGGAAGCGGCGACACCGCCGGGAGCGCCGCTCGTCTCGCCTGCTCAAGCTCGCTTCTGCTCACGGCAACGGTCGCAGCAGGCTCCGGTGGATCCTGGGGTTATCCCGTCTTTGCCCGTCCAAATTGAAAACACAGCCGAGGAACTGGCCTTCAGTCGCTGCAAAACACACAGGCCTCCAAGAGGAAATGGTCCCTCATTCAGACGGCTCGTCTGCGCGTGCGCACCTCGCCAGCCACACCACTGCCCGTCGGGAGCGCGCTCGGGGAGAGGGGGGGGTCCGGCGAAGGGAACGCGCACGTCAACACTCTGACAGGTGGTGCCCTCTGCCGGTCAGAGAGAGTAGGTCTGAGAGTAGAAATTGGGACCGTCCGCGTTACCTTATTTCATCCATATGCTTTATTGTAATTATATTTAACTATATGTAACTATAATGATGGAATAACGTCCGAGTTTACATTTCGTATTGCACTTCTCTGAAGGATGCTACCTGAAGCCCCAGAAAGTATCTGGTTGCACTTCCCTGCACTGATTCCAGAGCAGGGAGGTTGTATCAGACAGTTCTCTGTGAAGCAGCACTATTTTAGTCCTAAATTAACTTTTCTGCGGTCAGGGGAGGTCACCTTTAGCTTTATGATGCACAACTGGCAGCCCACTGGAGCTCAGCAGGTGTGAGCCTGGCCAGTACCTGGATAGGAGACTCCTGGGAAAAACTAAGGTTGCTGCTGGAAGTGGTGTTAGTGGGGCCAGCAGGGGGCGCTCACCCTGTGTCTGTGTCTGTGTGGATCCTAATGCCCCGATTTAGTGACGGGGGCACTATGTTGTAAAAAGGTGGTGTCCTTTGGATGAGATGTAAAACTGAGGTCCTGACTCTCTTCGGTCATTAAAAATCCCAGGGCATTTCACGAAAAGAGTAGGGGTGTAACCCTGGCGTCCTGGCCAAAGTTCCCCTAGCCCATTTACCAATCATGGCCTCCTAATAACCCCCATCTCTGAATTGGTTTCATCACTCTGCTCTCCTCCCCACTGAGAGCTGGTGTGTGGGGAGTGTATTGGCGCACTATGGCTGCCATCATATCATCCAGGTGGGGCTGCACACTGGTGGGGGTGGAGGAGAGTGTCCAGAAAAATGTGAAATAAGTGTAAGGAATTATTACTGCCTCTGTGTCCATGAACACTGCCCTGCCCTGAACAGGCTTGCACCATAACACCCAGCAGGAGGTGCTGGCAGCCTGATCCCACAGATCAGGTGCAGCTGTATTGCGGGAAATAAGGAGCAGATGCTCCTGTCCACTGGTGGGCACAGATGTGAAGCCAGCACTCCACGTACTGAATCAAGGAGAGGATGTCACCATGGCACCCCAGGAGCCTCTTGATGGTTTAGGAAGACAATATTCTGTTAGTCTAAATGACAGGGGTGTAAGTCAAGATTGAAGGCAGCTAAAGAATAGATAACCACAGTCTAACCAGGACTTTAAAATGGGTGGTGCAATTTTTTCTTGTGACTGAGCTGTTGTAGCCTCTGTTTATGAAGTGTTATCAACACTGGAGAGGACTGAAGGACAGATTATCTGCTGCTTCCTCAGACAGAGGCTGGGATCAGCCATGTGCAAATAAAGTTGTCCATATATGGTAACTATATCAGCACAGTTAAGAGACCATAAATTGATTAATCTCACCCCAACCTTTCTCAAAACACCACAATTTCCCAATTTCTTCTTTGCGTGTGCAAAAGAAAAACCATTTGAATTATTTTCTTATTTACAGTTGCAATATTGTCATAGCATGGGTCACTTGTTTTCTTTTTAAGATTGGCTAAATTGCAATTAGTAAAGGTAAAACTAATGAAGTGGTAGTGGTGCTCTTCCCCCTGCTGGCTCAGAGTGCTACAGGTGGTCCAATCAGCTCAGCTCAAGCCTATGCTGGTCATTGCTGTTGCTGGGATCGAGGTTTGCTTTCACATGTCAGGTCCTATGTGGAGCTTCCATATGCCCTCCCGTCCTCTGAAGATGGGTGGTTGTTTGCTGGCATCTCTCAAGATGAAGATGTTAACCTGGTTTCTTTCAAGACCTGGCTGGATGAGATCCTCTAATCAATTAGCTTTCTTCCTCGTCTGGAACCAATCTTATATTCCTTTCTTCTCATTATTTTAAACTGAAGGTGTCTGTTTGGGATGTAAAATTATATTGGACAATATATTATACATTGACATATTAGACAACCAATAATTTGCACATTTTTGACATTTCCTGGGACTTTCGGCAACTGTGCTTTTGACTTCATCTGCACCACAAATTGAACCAGATTAAATTATGGGAGTGAGAAAAGTGATCATTAGATTGCAGCCTGCTGTACATATTCCTCGAGCCTGTAATCTGATCTGCAGTTCAATCCTACAATGGAAAGGCAAACAGCTGTAGTTCAGCCAATGGTATTAATACAGATAAGATGACTTAATTAGCCATATACAATTTCTTGTATTAGGAATTTGTCTTTCGCAGACCCCAACTTGCTCTCCAGGAGACTCACAGACAGAAGCTGGGGGTCAGAGCGCAGGGTCAGCCATTTATACGGTGCCCCTGGAGCAGTTGGGGTTAAGGCCCATCGGAGTAGGATTCCTCTGCTGGCCACGAGATATGAACTGGCAACCTTCCAGCCACAGGCGCAGATCCTGAGCCACAGAGCCACTGCTCCGCTCCAAGAGGGGTTAAAGTGGCACATGCTTTATCTGTCCATTAGCAATACAAATTAAAATAATATAGCACAGTTTACAATTGAGATGGCTAAATCAGCTTATTTCGGATCTGATTTTCTTCAAGCTCAACATCACTGGCAATACCAGTAGGTCAATCTGGACCTACTAAAGAATAAACAAATGATGGAGTAATTCTGTCTTAAAAAATAGAACACTAAAAGACACCAGAAGAAACATCAGTTTAAAAACTGAATGTCTGCTCCTCTGCTTCCCATGTGCAATCATTTAATGTTCAATGGGAATTTATCAAGTACCACCTACAAAAGCATGCATCAACTTCACTTACCTTCTCTCACCTTTTCATCTATGGATGCTGAACAAAACTACTAAACAAAATCCAAAAGAATACTTAATAAAAAAAAACATAAGACTTCTATATTTTTGCAATGCTTTAATGTTCTTTATTGTTCACAAGGATGCAGAAGTGTTATACAATGACTTCTCAAACAGACTGACTGTCAAGGTCAGTGGGACAGTCACCCATCCCGTCCTTTGCAAAAATCGAAATTCTGCTTCAGACAACCTATTTTACCATCACTACAGAGACATCAACCCCACAGATGCTGCCTGAGGTTTCAGAAGAGTCCGCTGTCCAGCTCACCAATGAGGTCACTATGGGCCTCAATGGCAGGAAAGGAAATGCAGCTAAATCGACACAGGTGTTGTGAATTTTTGGAGCCATCTGGTGGATAGATTTTGTAATGTAACTTATTTTCAGCAAGATGTCATTTTAGGCAGGACCACATTTAAACTTAAAATTATTCAGAATTATTATCGGCACAGCTAGACAGATGTGATTCTTTTTTCAACATACTACAAATTGCCATTGTAACAAAAAACGAATCGAGATATTAAAGTTTTCCCATATTTTGATAATTATAACTTCTAACAGCCTGTGATTTCCCTGCCTCCAAACCCAGCGGCAATGTGGACTACGCAGAAGGGGCTGCTGGTACTGCAGAAACTCCTGTGCTCTGCAGAGCGAGCACATAGAGGATAATAACAATAATCGTTTAACCAGACATCATTTCAGAACAAAATGTCGCTTGTAGAGCAACCACGAGAGAAATACGAGATCAAGGGAACAAGGACAGTCTCCCAGTAGCAATTTGAGCCCACAATCTTGGTATTGCAAGCCCTGGACCCAAATCAATACCTCCACAGTGGGAGGTTACATTTTCATTATCCATCATATAAGCTAAATACAAGTTTTCGTTATACAGTAACATGAGGAAAACAGACCCAGGGGACCCAGGAGTTGCCTTGCTCTTAGTGCAGTGTGGAGGAGAGGCTGAAGTGCACAGCGCCGGGGTGTGTCAGACTTGTGTTTGTCACTGACGCCACCTACCTCAAGTGTACACACCTACTGTATAAATTCCTGGGCACACTGCATATATACACAACAAAAAGGAAATACAATATACACAGGAACACATTCCAACAGTGATGAGATAAAAAAAACTACACCATCTCCCACTACAGATTTATCATTCTGAGAAGTTAAAACATCTGTGCGTTTAAACCCAAGTTTATGATGCAGTACAAGTAAAAATAAAAAAGTGACCTAAGAACATCTGAAACTTGATACAGTTCACATGCTTAATAGTGCAGACAGGCAGGTACACTATTTTGCACTACTTAGTACACCGAGATATTCTCGACTTTTTTTTCCTCCACATTTTGGTGAAAAATAATTGAGGTTTCCATTGAAAATGATTAAATAATGCATTAGTTACCTAGTGCTCTTGATTTTCCTCAAGACCACAATAACAACAGCATGCAGCAGAGATGGACATACTCCTGCCTCCTCACCACTGTGGATCAATCTGACATTTCCCCTCAACACTGAGAGAAAGGACGACTTCTAGTGGGTCTCCCAAAACAGGAAGGAGGTCCTGCTACTAAGACAATAAACTGCTGTCTCACAAGCTTCCACAATTCCTTTTCTGTTCTGAGGTAAAGACTCACCACCAGTCTGATGCAGATTTAAATGCCCAATTGCCACAAGCCCATTGGTAACTTTTATACGAACAGAAAGCAGAACGACTATTTTCCCAACATGGTTTTGGTAATACCATTACAGAGCCATGTTATAGCAAGCCACTTGAAAGGGGAGCAGTTACAATGGATCTGTCACTAGATCCATTTTAACTGGACCTAGAGGCCACTATACAGCCTCTGGTCCTTGTAAACAGCCACAGTGTGAAGTTTATTATCGGGTACCTGGCAAAGGTTAAGAATTGTGCATTCTCACATGGGTGAAATTAGTCTTTTCTTTGGCATTTTAAAGGTGTGCAGGATGCAAGCAGGTAATGGGGCTTTAGAGTACCTTCTTGATTCAGGGTCTGCCAATAAAGCCTGTAGGACTTCCCTTCGTGCCCCTTGTGGGTTTCCACACTCTTGGAATCGCCCTGGTTAGAGTAGGGACACATGTTTTGCCACTTTTTTTTTGCTAAAGTTTGCAGGGTATGATTAAGTGAACAAAAGAAATACCTTGTCAGCCTTTATACAAGCTCCATCATTTAAATGCTCATATAGCACTCATAATTCAAACGTTTATTTAAACTTTATGTTCCACACTAGCGAAACCTGTTCAACGTAAAACTTTCAGCAAAAAGTACATTTTAACAGTGCACTCAGCAGCTGTCAAAGAACTGAGAGTCACCAACCTGCTCAGCCTGAAAGCAGTGCTGGTACTGTATACAACACAACCAGAACAACAGAATCTGTCACAGCTGCAGGAAAACCCATAAGTAACTTAAGAACTACAAGATCAGCAAACAATCTGATTCTTTCCTGAACATTAATAAGGCCATTTGGTATTAATCAAACTAAAGTACAACCTAAAAATAAGCACAAACCCAGCACAAGTCCTCAGAAAGGGTATGGCACAATGACAGACCAAGGGCTGGCTCTTTCAGCATTCTCATCACTGCTTCTCTCAGGGGGCTGTGAAAACGAGGTGCAGAGTGGAGAAACAGCTCAACACCTCAAAGGGAAAACAGCAATAAATCAGTGACCCCCCTCATTCTGAGCTCTGTCCTCAGACTCAACAGGATGCCCACATCAGCTCTGAGGAAGCAGTCAATTAATAACTGATCAAACACGTACTAGAAGGGCAGAATAAAGTACACATTACATTTCAGTTCAGGTGCTGGGATGGCAGTTTCAAAGAGTACAGCCCTATAATAGGCACCCCCAAACACTTTGAATTGTGAGAATTGTCACAGAATATCCGCACCTTTGGTACTAAAATCTGCTCCTCCATGAGCATCTGTGCAAGACCTGGTGAGATGTGAAAAACTATGCATTTTACAGAAAATACTTCCACTAAACAACACCACATCTCTGAGGTGGGAACCCCAGACCGATAAATCTTAACATTCACAAAGAACATTTATTTGATTTAAAAACATCTGAATGGAAATCTCTCCCCTTTAGTTGAAGCTGCTGCTCATTTGCTTGAGGATGTGAGGCCTGCAAAAGCCTCAGGGAGACATTTTTCAACATTAAACAGCAAAGCTGGATCTAAGCATGTGGTCCACATTTTGTAAAAATGGTTTCCATGGATAAGGACGAAAGCCCCCTCATGGGATGCCGAAGACGCATTTTGCTTTTAAATATTAACTTAATTATAACATCCAAGACTTGAGTTTCATTTGCTGTCAATTAAAAACACTTTTTTAAAACCCAATTAGAAGTAACAAAAAATAGATAAAAAGTCTATGAAAAATCATTTGAAGTGACTGGAAACGGAATAAATTGTCCCAGATCAAACATCTTTAACTTAGAAAGGAAACGCAAGATGACCTGCTAATCCTAATCTTAGCAAGGACATCCTGAAACCCCTGACCAACAAGTTGTATGATTACTGGGAATTTTAATAATGCATATAAACACAGTAATATGTACAAATGTCATGTAGATGTTCCTATGACAACCGTTTCTGAGATGAAGGCGAGTCTTATTTTTACAGACACATCTGTCAGAAAATCGGGATATTCCCCCAGTCACTGTCTAACTTTACATATGCACAGCATACAGAAGAGATAATGGTTGAATATTCCTTATCAAAATACAACCAAAAGAAAAATCTACAGCGTACCAACATGAATCCAAACAAATTCAAACTGGCAAGTAATTAAAGTTAGTTACTGCAGTAAGTCTAAGACCCTCCCTGAGCAAGCTGCAGTCATGAGCCTCCACACCTCACAGAAGCAGAACATGGTATTTACACTACAGAGGAAAGCAAAACCTGAAACAAAGATGCGTTTTCCTCTGCTTTTGAAATATGACGGAGTCCTTTCATGCAAGAAATGAACACCATTCCAACCTGTGATTTATTCCCAAACAGAGGAATATAAAATAGTTTATTTGCTTAGCAGATGTCCTTTGCCAGGGCAAGTAACAATACACATTTCTATTCCAGAACTTAACTAAGTGAACATTTTCCTGGAATAAATGGTGTGATTTAACTACTGATCATCCAGATGTTTTAGTTGAGTTAGAGACTCAATCTCGTGCAGCAGATGCAATAGAGCTACCACAAAAGAAATGAATGTAAAAACTTTACATTATAGTACAGCCACAGCCTCTTTTGGTTTATGCATTGATTTCCAAACAGAGCAGAAAAACAAGCGCTTCTCAAAAAGCAAAGATCCTTTCCTTCAAGTGCTTCTGCTACTTCATGAAAATATGATGGGCTCTCTGATGCTATTAAATTGACAGTAAACTGCAAACGCAGAGGAAAGAGCTTTATTGGTGCTTCTTTCATTTAAGCACCTTTAGGTAAAAACAAAATCTTAAATAAAAAAATGATTACGTTTCCCAGCACAGGAAGGATTCTGTTTGAATGTGGTGTGAACGGTTTACCATGCGCATTAAAATAAAATCAAATAGTGTAAAAGAAGCCCAAGTTAACCATAGCTTCACTACAGTTTTTGTAAAACTGACCAAACTGCTATAAATCTTCTGGTTTTGGGTACTAAAACATTTCACCAAGATATGCTTTATTTTAGATGTTGGCAGTTCTTTTCCTGCACTCGAGCAAGCGCCAATAAGCCAGTTTTCAAAACAATATACAGCACTGAAGGACAAACCAATTGTCAGAACACTAGCTTTTTAAAATCTGATCTGGTCAGACTAAAGCACTCTTCATTTTTAACTTTCTAATTATAAAGCAAGCATTTGAAGAACAGGAGTTGGGGGCTAATAAAAATGTTTTACTACAACATAACCATTTCGTACATTCTCATTCAATAACCTTTTTTACCAACAGGTCAGTGGAGTTACCATGGGCACCAGAATGGGACCTAGCTATGCCAATATTTTTGTAGGCTGGGTAGAAAAACTCTTCTTCGCTTCCTACACTGGCTATGTCTCTGACCTCTACAAGCGATACATTGATGGCTGCGTCGGTGCTGCCACATGCTCCAACGACCAGCTTGAGCACTTTCTGCATCATTTCACCAACTTCCACCTGTCCCTCAAATATACATCGCCCACTATATATATCGCCCACTACTCTTCCATTTCTAGACATCAACTACCCCCGACTCTCCACTTCAGTCTAGTACAAACCCACGGATTCACACAGCTATCTCCTGTATAGCTCATTTCACCCCAAACACGCTACAAACTCTCTCCTTTTTTCAGTTTTCCAGAAACAAGCCCTCAATATGTACTCCTTTTCCATCAACAGAGGATACCCCAGCAGTGTTATTGACAGGGCCCTTGTCTGGGCCAAAAACACCCCTCGGACCATCAACTTGAGCAGGAGCTCCTGCCGTAACAATTTCATTCCTTTGGTGCTTCCCTACCACCCCAACACACTTCCTATCCCCAGGACTATTCACGACAACTTTCCATCCTACAGGATGATCCCTCCATTGTGCCCTCTTTTCTGACCACCCCATCATCTCATATCGCCGACCCCCTAATCTGCGGATCCTTCTTGTTCACAGCTCCCTTGACCGCCCTCAGCAACCATCCACACCAGGTACTTTCCCTTGCAACAGAGCTCCCGGCCCTTGCTCCTCCTCTCTCCCACTACATTACCTTTGCTTACTGCCCTGTCTTTCCCACACCTGAAGAAGGCTCCACGGCCGAAATGTTTTCTTTCTTCTTTTTTCAGCAGGGAATAAACCTATTACTTGTTTCTTTGCAGCCTACGCATGCTGATGCAGCTCCCCACCTGAACTACTATAACCATTTCATTGTGCACTTAATAGCCGACAAGAACTGAAGGCTTAGGACTCCCACCTACCAAGCCCAGGCACATATGCTTGTTTCCCTATAACACCTTTAAAACATTAACTGAACAATGCAGCCAATTAACACTGGCTTGTAAGGCTGAGTATGATAGTCATAGTAAAAAAGAGGTTTTCTACAAAAGCTAGCATTTGATATTATTTGTAGAAAAAGCATACCACATGACAATCACAGATCCACAATAGGTCACATTGTATGATACAGTGGCCTGTTTTGCTCCAGCAGAGACTTCAAAAAAGCAGGACTTCTATTGCCCTTGAAATATCTAGAAAACCTGCCTGTTGCATTCCCAAAACATTTTCATTACACTTGTATACTTGCAAGAATCTTAGTTCTTCTGTTAAAAATGCAAATAAGTTTAACTTTATCTCAAATATTAAATGCTTCATTTAACCAGGGTCTTTAATCTCTCTGCATTTATTTGCATATTAAACATGATGCAATGTTGTTTATGAATGTTGAATGCAAAGTATGTATATCTGTACATAATATTAATGACCATAAAATGTCAACTGGTTCACAGCCAAACTCCCTGAGGGGCTACTTCAATACTTTGACCTCGACACACAATGTGGATCTTTCCTATCACTTTTGAAGTGAAAGAGTAGTCATTTCTTAATGTCTGTGAGAACAGGACAAATATGCAGGAAACAAGACAGATTCACACTTTAAGCATTTAATTCACTCCTGTTAACTAAAAAACAATAAAACACTAACACTACACAATTTATAAAATTAAGAGGCTTCTTCACCTAGCTACAGATCATATGTAAAACTGCTTATTTTCATCCTCAAATTCTTTCCCAAATACCTGAATGAGGATGCAAATACACTATCAACTAAATATTACACATTTCTAAAGCAGAACATTTTTAATATTAAACAGTATTTTTTGTAATGCACCCAAGAAAATGTAAAAAACGTTTCAAGAACCCAACTCGACATTTACTGTGGGATCACAGAGTAATACTCACATCTGGTGGGATTAAATTGAAATCCTACTATAAGAAAGTTTTAGTCTTCTGAAAATACAGACTAAGACGTACAAATGTTTTTATTACAGAACAAGCTTGCAGAAACATTGAAACGGTGCCAACAGGGTGGCAGAACTCCAGAATGGGTGGAACATGCCAAACTGAAATCTTCAGTACTTGGTCACATCACACACTTTTCTCATTTGATCTTTTCATGATGACTTTTGATTTTATTTGACATTCTTAATAGGAAAAAACTTCTGCACTGGTACAGAACCTCATGTATTTCTACAAATTATCAACTCATGGTTCAGGGAAAAAAAGGAAATCTCAACAAGACTCGCATGAGAAAAATAACTTTTTACATTTGATCAGGCTGAGCCATGTCCTAAAAGGTGAAAGCAGTGATAACAAAAACAGCAATGAACCTCCCCGCTAACGCAAAAGAGTTAAACATGGCTAATTCTGAAATTCGTCCAGGTCTGGCCAGTCACCTTTCCTGAACTAATGCACTGTAAACAGATCAACCTCAGATTTAGCTCTTGTCAATTATAAAACCAGATAACAAACAGCTTTTTCCTTACTTTGGCTGCACCTCATGTATTCAGTGCAAACTAGACAGTTCATGAGAAAACCGCATCCTCAGAACAGTTTTCTTCTCCACAGCACAGCGCCCACCAGGGGGGCTGGAAATAGAAGAAAAAAAAGACACCCATCTGCTCCCCTCACCCTGCTGCCCCCATCGTTTGATCCCAGTCTGTAGACTAAGGCAGCGTGAACTCTCCTGGCTCCGGGAGGTGACGGAGCTGTGCCAGACAGGACGCTAGGTGCTGTGCAGGGGGATGACAAACTTGCACCCAAAGGGCGAGTGGTAATTGATGCCCACTTCGTGGAAGACCTGGCGTGGGATGCCGATGTCGCACAGGTACAGCCGGCCCGCCCCCTCAGCCAGGGGCAGGGGCAGCCCCAGCGACAGGGACCACTTGGCATCCACAGCCTGCTCCTGCGCGCTCATGGGAGGATCGATGCTCAGCACTGGGGCCCGGTTCTGATTGGCCCAGTCCACAGCCGCGCGGTACCACTGCTGGTCCCTCAGGAAGGCGTTCTCGTGGCAGTCAAGGCAGTTTATCACCAGGTCCACCGGCGTGTCCGGCAGATCTGCAGGGACACACACACACACGTCATCTAAAGCAAAGCTGAGGAATAAGGAAAACTGAGCCATGGTCAACTGAATCCACTCCATTTAAAATGCAAAAAAACTGTTCAAAGCTTTAAAATCTACATACATTAGCTAGATGCCACATGTTGATGTTGAAATATAACCATTCCAGTTAAAAAAGAGACATAATGAGTTACATGCAATGGAAAGCAACATTTGCAGTAAAACAGCAGTGAGGGAACCATTAAGGATGAAACAAAATATATCTGGAACAATAATGGAAAACATCTAGATAACAAAATAGATGTACTAAAAAGTATTTCAGTCACTAAGGAAGAATGTCCCAACAGCGTGTCCAGGCAGTGGAAGGACAAAGTTCTATATTAAAGATCAGCATAGAAAAGGCAGAAATATTTCAGGTTCTATAAGTACTTGGATTAATTAACCTTAACAGTTGTAATTAAGGAAATGGAAACAAGAACCCATTGTTGCAACTCTTCCACCAGTCACTCAAGACAGGGACAACTATAAATGCATCACCCATTCATAAGAGTGACTAAACCGAACCAATTATATATCAACAATAATTCTGACATCTTCTATGTTTAAGGACATGGAAGCTATTTTTAGATTTTAATTGGAGGATCACTTATATGGCAATCAGATCATGATTAATTTTAAAAATTGGAAAACAATTGCTCATTTATTCAAACTGAAGTGTTTGAACAAACAGTGATGGACACACTGAGTAAATGAATGATATGATGTATTTTGATAGTTACTTTTCTAAGGAATTCTCAAAATTAAATTCAGTAGGCATTCAGGGAAATGCAGGTATCCTGATTGAGAACACAATTGGTGAAGCACCAAAGAAATTGGTACTAGAACCACTACTTTAAATTATATCAATGATGTAAATTCTAGTATAGTTGGTAAACTGATCAAGTTTACAAAAAGACAATAAGAATTCTCATCCCCACTAGATTGGCAGAGGATAGAACTATAAACAGTGTTCAAAGTACTTTTAAAGTGAAAACCTTACCTTTATCTTGCAGAATCGTCATTCTAACCTTACATATTTAATTTGTAACAAATGGTTGCTCAGGAAAATCTGCAATCTGGGGATAAGGCAGGCAACACACTGTACGACACTCACTAGTGTTCATGCACACAACACAATCGACAGCTCCAGTAACCGAGTTCCACATTTCAAGGTCCCCTTTTCAATGGGGGAGCGGGCTCCTGGGCCTCGGGGCCTATTGGAATTCTCCAGAAAGCCCTGGAAGTGGCTAGACACTGCCTCCCCTCTGTACTGTGCTCAGCCTTGCCTGTGGTTGTGGCCTGCATTGACTGCTCCCACTGCCCATGCAATTTTAAACCTCCTAATCCCTGCCTTTGGCGTGTAGTCTCCGTACAGGTGTTTGTTTTCGATTAAAACATTCTCCTCACTGTTCCCATTGATTCAAATTCCTTTTATTTCATAAAAACACCTCTGTCCACAGCTATACACACTGCTCAGCTGTTGTTAGTGATGGGGGATTACACAGAGGAGATTTGTGCTGTGCCAGGGACTCAGTGGCTGCTGAATTAGAAGACCACAGCATATTCTCGCAACAAAATGCCACATTTTCCATTATTCAAACATCTTTCCAGTGCATCCACACAGCACCAGCTGGTGCATTTCCATTTGCATCCTAGAATAGCTTGCTAGTATTGGAGCATATTTTGTTCTGGGATTCCACAGGAGATATTTCTCCCCAAAAAATAGCCTGGACATGTACACTACCTAAACTAAAAATGTGCAACATGACCATTTATGCTCCAAAATTACTAAACTTAAAGCTACAGACAATCTTACAACAGTAACAGATACAGAATACAAACAAGCTCATTTACACCAACAAAACTAAGAACAGCAAACTCCAGAAACCTTTAAAACTAACATTTCAAAAATAATAAATATTAAACTATAGTTTCCATTTTAAACCTACAGAGCAGGTATCAGCCGATGCGAAAATAGTTAGTGATTTCGATGTATTGGGTTCAGACAAATACGATCGGGGACACAACAGGCTTTCAACATCAGTCTTCTCAATGAGACTATTATAAGCAATGCTGAAAAGAGAAGAAAGAAAACATAATGTTTCGGCCCTGGAGGCTTCTTCAGGTGTGAGAAAGACGGGGCAGACAGCAAAGCAGGAGAACAAAAACTGGGAGAGAGGAGGGGCGGGAGGTGGGAACAGGTGACAGACAGTGGCCAATCAGGTAGTGTGAAGAGAGGTGTGAAATGAAACCTACAATAGAGAGAATTTAGAAGAAAATTAGTCTGTCCTTGAGAGAAGGGGAAAGGTGTGATCCTAGTGGCAGGATAATTTTAGCTTCTGTAGTCTTTCGGATGTTGGAGTTAGGAAAAAAACAGCTTTGAGAACACAGACGGAGAGATTAGTGTGATCATGGCCATCAGAGGTTAAATGAGAAACAATAGGCTTGGAAAAAAAATTAATCTTCACAGCCCTAACACGTTCTCTGAAGTGGTCTCCTTCCTGTTTCTCCAATGTAGATGGCTGGGCATTTACTGCAAGAGATACAGTAAATAAGGTTGCTGGAGGTACATGATGCTGTCTGGGTGATCCGGAATTGCCCTGAGGGGCCTTGAACGAGTGTGGCCCTTTCTCTTTAAATTCAAACCATTTTTTCAGACTGGTATCATAAAAATTTTTAAAACTGATTTAAGATGAACAAACAATGAAGCTCAGCACCAAAAACCAAAACGTATGATCTGAACGTGTGATGACAAGGAAACATGAGAGAAACTGGATCCATATAAACCAGATATTGTAAAGCTGCTGAAATATCCAGCTGAAATATAAAAAACAACCAACAGGTGGGGGTGTTGCATTATACAAAAACCCTTTTAGCAGTTTTAGTGTTTGATGCATTTTCACAATTACCTTCAGAGCACAGTAAATACATCTGCTTATACTTCAAAGAGATCCTATTTTATTGATGATTAAAAAAAGACAAATATTAGCTTAAGAGACTTAAAAATACAACACAAAACAGAAGTTCTGCAGTTTGAAATATGATTTCATTAAATTAATATTGTATTCTGAGCAGTACTGAATTAGTTTTCATTTAGACAATCCACAAAATCTTAAACGCTTAAAAGCACACAGGACAAAGAATTGTGGATTCAGTTTCAGATTGTGTACCTTTGACACTGGAGACCTGCTTGCCATCTGTTTTGCCAAAGAGCGTGAGTTCATTAGTGATGGACTCCAACATCTTCACAAAGTTGGGCAGGAACAAGATGACGTGGACCTCATGGTTGGCCAAGTGTCGTCCACAGCTGATGCCCTGTGCGCCCTGAACATGAGGGCCACACAGTAAGGCCACCGTGGGGCGCTGGTGCACATTCTTAGGGGTCAACCTGGAAAAAAAAGGTATGATGATTCCTTGTGATTTCTGTTATCAGATATCACTGCAGCTAACTGACTCAGATTGTGTGCACACCATGAGAGATTTTGATTCACAGGCTATTGACATTTATTTTTCCAACAAAAACACAAGCAATCAATAACGTTCCTTGTTAAAAAACTTGAACCTCTGTCTACCTTCTCCACTCTGCATAAATTCACTTCAGACTTGCAAAACAGGAATCACTATAGCGCGATCTATGATTTGTTTAACAATGTCTAACAATTTACACCTGCTATAGATACAAGATGCCAGCTGACGGAAAAGGGTGGTATTTTTTTGCAAAACTGATGCTTTTCCACAAACTAATTTTTATTTCATCATGCAGACAACAAAATATTGATGCATTTTGCTATCACCTGTTTTTAAGTGAATGACACAAACATGCATTTCTGTCTTAGTTCTCAGGTAGCATAAGGATTCACTCAACAACTGTCAGAGTTGTTTCCCCTGATTTCTGGCAGCAAAAGCAACTTCAAACAAGTTTGACAAACAACATTCAACACCTGTCCTCTGTCACTTTACTAAAAGAGGGCAGTGTCAAAATGCTTTCTAAGCTATTGTGTACAATAAATGTCAACAGTCTTGTTAGTGCAGCACAATAGATTTTAAAGACTGGCAAGTTTGCAAAAATACTTCCAAATGTGAATGAAGGAATTCTTGATTTATGCCTGCTTTCTAGCTTTCCTGATTTCTTAAACATTTGCCACATCGGAAAGCTGTTAATTAGCTCATCATGCATCCCCGTCACATACTCCTGCAGGCATTTGGTGGTTCCAGAAAGACCTCCTGAGCTGCAGAACATCTCTTGATTCATTGTCTATAGGATGTAAACTTTTATGACTGCCTTGGCTACACAGCTACAGTTCACAAGGCACATGTCCCACCCACACAGGAACAGGCTCTAGACAGTCACATATACTTTCATCATTAGCACATATTTGGCTGATAATGCAAACATACAAAGTGCCAGGAGACAAGAAGAAAGCTTTTTATCAAGAAAAAGGCAAATCTATCTAAACTCTCTACTTAATGGACAGGCTACAATGAGGCAGAGCAAGAAGAAAGCAGTTTACACACATTAGCTATGTAAGATAGGAAACCTCAAGGTTGCACAAAGACACTATCTCAGCATGCAACTGAAGTATGTAATCTATCCAAAAAACAACCATTGCTCCTCTGCAATCCGATTACTTTGTGTAACTCACTCTATATGGTCCTGGGCCCTGTGTTGCTTTTAACTGAGGTGTGAAGTTCAGTTTAAGTGATCAATGCAGTACTGCCAATGGCTACAAAAAGGAGAGGCGCAGCGACAGCTGTGTTTATATCTCCAGCAATAGGCGTGAATGATGGGAAAGACAACAAACCTTGCTTTATCAGCCTGTTGGTCTTTGCACAGACCTGGTACAAAATGGCTCACATAACAGTACAAGGACAGAGGAGTTGCCAGACTGGGCTGGGTATGTTCTGAGCTACAAGTCTCACTGGTACTTCAACTGCACAAAACAAGCAACTCATTTTTTGCTTAAACTCTATTAAAACCAATGTTACTGAACATAGCTTCCAAAATCAGCTGTTTCATAAAACTGCAATTGGTTGTGTATAATGCACACAAATGATGAGCAACATGACTGTATATAAAGTTACCACTTTGATGACTAGACAGTGAAAAGGACATCAGGACACACCCACTCCCTGGGTTATGCAAGGGTTCCGTTCTGCAAGTCTTCACATAACGCAAATCTTTTGTAAGTCAGAAGCAACCCTTTCTTAGTTGTGTGAGGAGACAAAGAATTACCATTCAGGATATTATGCCATCCTCCTTTATTTGCCCTAGCCCTGTCTGCAGGTGAGGGAGGAGGGACAGGAGAGCAGAATAACTGGCTAACCAAGAGTTTGTCCTTTAATGGTTAACAAGTGTGTGCTCATCACAGTGGAGTGAGAGAATGTAGCAGCAGCTTGCAGTCCTGGAGGCAGAAAAAGAAACTCCTCTAATATCTGGGGACAGAAACGATGAATGAAATGCTTAAAATTGTTTTAAAACTCTATAATTAAAATAATTAAAGACCAAACAGCATACACTTAAAAATATACAATACAGTAAATTACTGAGAATTACCATTAAAAGTGGTAAGAGGTGTTAGTGGGGCCAGCAGGGGGCGCTCACCCTGCAGCTCATGTGGGTCCTAATGCCCCAGTGTAGTGACGGGGACACTATACTGTAAACGGGTGCCGTCCTTCGGATGAGACGTAAAACCGAGGTTGTGACTCTCTGTGGTCATTAAAAATCCCAGGGTGTTTCTCAAAAAGAGTAGGGGTGTACCCTGGTATTCTGGCCAAATTTCCCCATCGGCCTTTATCAATCATGGCCTAACAATCCCCCTCTATAAATTGGCTTCATTACTCTGCTCTCCTCCCCACTGATCGCTGATGTGTGGTGAGCGTTCTGGCGCACTATGGCTGCAATGACCCCATTACCTGTAAAGCGCTTTGAGTGGAGTGTCCAGAAAAGTGCTATATAAGTGTAAGCAATTATTATTATAAAACATTTGTACTGTACATTACCCTACACCATACTGCTCGGCAAAATGATAAATTCACTTTTGTGCTTCCCTAATGAAATTGAGTTACGAAATACACATTTTGGTGAAAAAGTACGAGATAAGCCTATTAGAGGTAACTACATGTGCGCAAAAGCAAAGTGAGACTGAAGTTTAAAACGGAGCCCTAGTGGATAGTGGTAGAGACTGCATTTACTGCAGAAGGAACTGCTGCACTGCTTGCTCTTTACACATATAACAAAGTCTCCTTACCACAACATTTTTAATCATTTTGCGGTTTATTGGGTGAGGTGACTCGGTGGGTCAGGATCTGAGTCTGCGGCTGGGAAGTTGCCAGTTTGTATCCTCCAGCCGGCAGAGGAATCCTACTCCGTTGGGCCCCTGAGCGAGGCCCTTAACCCCAGCTGCTCCAGGGGCGCTGTACAATGGCTGACCCTGCGCTCTGACCCCAAGCTTCTCTCCCTGTCTGTGTCTCATGGAGAGCAAGCTGGGGGATGCGAAAACACAAGTTCCTAATAC